ACAGGGTGAATTTCGAGCCCCAGGACACCCCCGTTGCTTAGAACAAAGCGATAGAGTAAAATCTTTTCCCTGCGCTGCACTGGGACGACTCGCGGGAGAGCTTGTGGGTGATTACCGTTTATATCATTAAGCAGAGGTTCAAACTCCAGTCCGAACACCACTGGCCACGAGCTTTGGGCTCTGCTCTCACAGAGAATATTTATTTATACAGCATAATTTATTTTAGATGAATTAGAAACAATGTTTAATTTATAAAGTTTTATTTTGAAATGTAAGTCAATAACAATTGGCTGGAGCCAGAGCCAGTGGTCTTTGCGTGAGGAGACCCCGCCCCATTTTGTAGGTTCTGCCCACTTTTGGAGTTAACGCCCCATTTTGGAGATCTCTGGTCTGCAGTTATATCTACTAGGAGAGAGCGGTTTTCAATAGTCTTTAATTTTGACTAAAACAGGTATCTACTAGTGTATTTGGTGCAGTCTTTATGTCCAAAAAACATGTCCTGGTTTTAGGCAAATTACATGACTGATTATTGGGAGAAAAAAATTATAATCTGCCCATGTAATCCTAATTGCTGTGATTAGGAATAAACATTGTTGGTTAGAATGCATCTATAGAGAGTATTCAGCAGCTCACTAGATTTTGGATCAGACCCTCTGGATAGGATTTCACTGGACACAGACAGATATCATGCTCCACACAAGCATCTTTGTCATTTTGAATGATCCTTCCATGTGACATAATATTGGTCTTCCCAAGTCAAGTCAAGTCAAGTTTATTTGTACAGCGCTTTTCACGATACAAATCATTACAAAGCAACTTTACAGCAAATTAAGTTTCTACAATATTTAATGGTAGCTTATCAATGGTGACTGTCAGTTAATGTACATATGGCAGAAATGTAAGGAAAAATCAATTTAAGACGTAATAAAACAGACGATGAACACTATTGACAGCAATTATTATATGATGCAATCAAACTTATAGCAAAATGTGGTAGTTCTGTATGTTGTTTCAGGGTTGGCATCATCTGAGGTCCTCTGAGGGGTTGGCATTATCTCTTCTCAGGTGTTCTAGATCCAGACTGAGGCTTGTGTAAATCCTAGTTACGGCAAAAAACAGAGAAACAAATAGAGACATAATTAGCGTAGCTGCTGTTCCAACCAAGCAAAATTTATTTGTTTAACCCAAACTAAAGAATAATAATGTGCATTTGATCAGATATAACTGCAGTACAAGATTATGAGATGCATCATTTGAATGCTTGGCCAAAGAGGCTTGTATAAATAAAGACTGTCTGTGAATGGCATTGTTGGATAACCTGCGTCACTTCTATGTGAGAGTAGAATACATCCTTCGCTCATGTGAAGTCAGTGTCTTTCAAAACGTAAAGGAAATGCCAATAACAGCTGTCGTCTCACAGTATTGATTAATCTCCTTGTGAGGCAAGCAGTGAGGCGTTCCCATGGCAACAGGTACGTTGTCTGCCTGCCGGGCGACGAGTGCGACAGTGAACCAGGGCTATTAATAGACTTTATAGCGAGCGTTCATATCGTAGACCTTGTCAGATAAATGTGGGCACGGACTTTTTGTTTGTTCTCCTGTGTAAATATCATGTGAACATTGGTCCCGTCACACCACATCACAATTTCCTCCCCATCCCAATCAGTTGGAAGCAAATTTGCATTTTATGGTGTCCTTGTGATTCCAAAAATCACTTGCTTGTTGAAAATTTGCGTAATGTGAAACATCTGTGATGTAATTGGTGGGAATGAGAATGATGTGGCCTGGCTGGATCATCACAGTTCTCTTGAGAGCCATGTGATTGGCAGGGAACGCTGGCATACAAAGCATATTCGCTATGCATGTCACATTCTTGACAAAAACCCTCTGACAAAGCCCACAAGATGAGGCCTTTTGTAGATCTGAGAGACAATGTCAGTGTAATAAAGCTTTCAGTGTTTAGGAAATGTATTATGTGGAGTATGAATACAGTACTAGATTCAGACTCAAGCATGCATACTCATTTACATGTACATTAAAATCATTTACATAAAATAAAACCCATTTACATTAAAATCGAAAAGTTCACATAAAAAAATCTAACTTTTGTCATCGTTTAATGACCTATATGTTTTTCCAAATATGTATTATTGGTGGTAGTAGTAGTATTGTGTGGAACACAAAATTAGAATTGTTCAAGAATATGCTGAATATAATGAAAGTGAATAGAGTTTGGGCTGTCAACATCCAAAATTACAACAACAAAAAAAACACTATTATATAATATATATATATATATATATATATATATATATATATATAGAATGATGTGGCCTGGCTGGATCATCACAGTTCTCTTGAGAGCCATGTGATTGGCAGGGAACGCTGGCATACAAAGCATATTCGCTATGCATGTCACATTCTTGACAAAAACCCTCTGACAAAGCCCACAAGATGAGGCCTTTTGTAGATCTGAGAGACAATGTCAGTGTAATAAAGCTTTCAGTGTTTAGGAAATGTATTATGTGGAGTATGAATACAGTACTAGATTCAGACTCAAGCATGCATACTCATTTACATGTACATTAAAATCATTTACATAAAATAAAACCCATTTACATTAAAATCGAAAAGTTCACATAAAAAAATCTAACTTTTGTCATCGTTTAATGACCTATATGTTTTTCCAAATATGTATTATTGGTGGTAGTAGTAGTATTGTGTGGAACACAAAATTAGAATTGTTCAAGAATATGCTGAATATAATGAAAGTGAATAGAGTTTGGGCTGTCAACATCCAAAATTACAACAACAAAAAAAACACTATTATATAATATATATATATATATATATATATATATATATATATATA